TTACTAAAAGTTTCTGAAATATCACACCACCTTTTGTTGTATATGTCAGGGGAAATCACAGGGTTCACAGTTTCATATGGTAGAAAAACCTTAAAATCAATCTAAAAAACACATTTGTGGTATAAAATTAGATTCATAAAAGGTAAGCTGGTGATGGAACATGAAAACAAGTGCCGTAGATGGATAGTTTGCTCAATGAATAATTTGTGGGCAATGTCAACAAGATGTAATGTGTCTAGTATAGAATTTGGTTTATATGAATGTTTTGTTGAACTAAATAGAACATGACCAATCCAACAAGTGCAAAGTCGACCGGGTTATGATCAGTTTCTGAGGATTTATTTTGGCAAGATATTTATGTGGTAATGACAAAAGGAAAAGTTGATTTCACACAATTCGAATGCACTTAAGTATTAGGCGGTGGAAGCGTAAAGACATTCATGTAGAGAGGTCATGCATTCAACTATTCGGGTCATTACACGTGTAACAAATATAAAGGTCGTTGGAATAGATTAGGTGTTTTATTAGTTCAACTCTAACAAAATTTTCCCTTCTTTGGAGCTACCAATGAATTAATAGTGAGTTTTTGTTTTCTTAGTTGATAGAATGAACAAGCTTGCCATTGTGGTCGCAGTATATATATATATATAGTAATTATCTGATTTTAGTGGTATGATAACCCAGAATATGTACAAAAGTCGCTTTAATGTTTTAATGGATCACAATTTATTGCAAATAGGAATAAGAAAATTTATGTAGCTGATCCCATTCATTTGGGATTAAGTAATCAACATATGTGGTGGGTGATAATTTATCGGTCATCCTTATTATCACGTGCTAGGTATTATCATTTGCATGGAAATTTTACATGTTGATTGTAGCCAACGGCATCAATAATGTAAGAGTATTGCTACACCTTGTGACATAGCAGGAACAGACACACTCACATCGACAGTGGGCCCCACCACAGCAATGTAGTGGGGTTTACAATCAATGTTGTGGTGGGACTCACAGTCGATGTGAGTGTGTCGGCTGTCGCTATGACACAATGAAAAACATTTTTCCTAATGTAAATATGGTAACTTTAACGTTGTATAAGGACGTCCATAATATAATCACCATACTGATTTTAGGGGTGTTATGGTAGTGATTAGGGGTGCACACAGTTCGGTTCCTTACGGTTCCGGTCGGAACCGGAACCGTTCACAACGGTTCCTTGAAATCGGAACCGGAACCGGAACCGTTTAGTACGGAACCGAACCGTAGAACCGGTTTGGTTCTATGAGAACCGTTTGTTTGGCTTTTTTTCTATATATCTTGCTAACATTAACAATCAAATGGATCAGAAAAGAAAACCTAAAGCCATGAACAGTCTGAACAGATGCATACTAGGCAAAAATATATGAGCCCTAGATCTAAAAGACGAGAGAGAGAGAGCAACAAAGGTGAGAGGGTTGACCTCTGATTTGATCCAGAAATGGGGAAGTGACAGAAAACGTGTAGGGGAGTTGGGAGGTGGACCAGCTGGAATCGGATGATGGCGAATCAGAGCTGTTGATTGGATTTCTATTGACGAAGGCCGATGATGTCTGGGTGGACGGTGGACCTCCATGAGAGAGATGTTAACCTCCTACCCGCAACTCTCAGCATTGTCTTTTACCTTTTGTTTGCTCAGATAGCTTGATTAGGGTCTACTCTTTCAAAGTGAAGAGCCAAAGGAGAGAGAGAATCTCAGAGATTTAGAGAAGGCGATGACTGAGATTGAGAGAGTGAGAGAATAGAGATGGAGGCGGTTGCTGCAGCTGAAATGATTTGCCCTAAAAGTAAAAAATATATAATCAAATATATATATATATATATATATATATATATATATACTGAGACTAAGAGAGTGAGAGAGTGAGAGAGTGAGAGATCTGAGAGAAAGGGCAAGTTCAGAGTCGAGAGAATAGAGATGGAGGCGGTTGCTAACTTGCTGCAGCTGAAATGATTTGCCCTAAAAGTAAAAAAAATATAATCAAATATATAAGATATATATATATATACTTCGGTTCCGGTTCCAGGACCAAACCGTGAGATTGGAACCGGAACCGAACCAAAACGAAACTTATCGGTTCTTCATTTTAGGAACCGGAATCGGAACCGGAACCGTGAGAACCGGAATTTCGGTTCCGGTTCCGGTTCGGTTCCGGTTCCATGGTTCTTTTGTGCACCCCTAGTAGTGGTGTAGGCAACAACTGTGCTGGATGGATGAGCTTTGCAAAATCTTTGCAATTCTATGGCAAATGCTCTGCGTTCAAATTCAAATACAGTCGGAGTGTAATGACATCTAGTGCTTTCAGATATATAAAATGAAGTTCTTTTAGCTATGTAATTGATAAATCAGCTCTGAGATGCCACCTTCTGGAACTTATAAGTGCACTAATAATTAACATTAGGCATTGACATAAGTTATAGAGTATTATCTCAATCAATTGTAAAAAGAAAAAGCTTTTACATGCTTCATGGTAGTATAAGTTTCATCAGCTAAGAAGATCATGTTTGTGGCATGTAATTTCTACATTTAACAACATCTTCTTACTTAGCAGACCATTTACTACTATGAAGCAAGTAATTTTTTGGCTTTGAGTAATATATTTTTTAAACATGTTGTTTTGTTAAAAATTCATTTCCATAACATGAATACATTATGCCCTTCACTTCGACATAATATACGGATTTCCTCACATTACATTTTGCACCTGCAGTTAGGATCTAACAATATGGAGGATAATGGGGTGACTGATTGCTGTCCTCAGTTGCTAAAAAATACAAACTGGGTGCCATAAATTGACACAACCACTTTGTTGTTCCTACCATAACAATAATATCATATTGTTGTCAGGAACAAATGTATACAATTCTATGTACACATATTAAAATCTTCAATTATAACATGGAAAGGGATCAATATATGGATTATTTTACAATTTTTATGTAGTCGAAGTTTAATGGTTATACGTCGAGATAATTTTTAATTTTTTATTATTTCAATTTGGACAATTATTTTCTCTCATACATTACATTTGGATGCATGTAATTGGCAGATTGGAATTTGAATTGAACACTAAATTAGTTTAAGTTTTAGACTAATTATTTTTCGAGTTCCAATTTCACGGCATAGATTCGATGGTACAAAAAGCAGTGAAAGGGTAATCTTATTGACATTACACTTGCAACATTTCAACAATTCAATTTTGAATATTTCTTAAATCATTAACAGTGTGGAAAGTGAGAAGTTAAAAATGGAATGCTGGTGAAAGTTGTCTTTTTCAATGACATGGTAAATTGAAGCATTTTGATTTCTTGTAAATCTCAATGGCATTTGGAGATAAATTTAATATATTTATCGTGTAATTGCATTAATTGGGATTGTATGGCAACTGATGCAGCTGAGATACTTCTGTTTTCCACTCGACTGTATTTTCAGTTTTCTAATATATTCTAACAGTTTTTTCGGTACTATATTTACGTATTTTTTTTCCCTCTTAATGCTCCTTAGTTTTACAGATCACAAGCTTTTGAGTAGTTAGCCCTTCCCATCTTTATTCTTCTTCGATCGACTGCCTTCCAGTGGACCAGATGCCAAGATCAAGGTTAGAGAATATAATCTATGATAATAATTTGCAGCTATTTTCAGTTGTATTTCTATTGTATTGTTTTCAAACCTGATCGTTTTAAAGATTCTATTTTGTGAGCCAAATAGTTGAAAACTCTGTTATTTTTATGCATTACCATCAAGGGTTGTAGCAATGTAGCCCAATGGTATCCCTTATACCTTCCGAAGTAGATGGTTGAGATGTTAAGTCCCTATAAGATCAAAGTGGCTGTTTGAGTAATTTGCAGCACGGTAGGCAAATTTCTTGATAAGTTGCTATAAAGACTAAACAATAGTCATGACTATTGGAGGAGATACATCAAACCCCATAAACTAAGGAATCCATATGATCATGTATATGTATGGATTCTTTAGTTTATGTGATTTGATGTATTTCCTCCCATAATGACTCCCTACACAGGGTGACCAAGCTGAATCAGTTATAAATGGTATTGATCAACTTAGGCTTCTGGCGGTCCTAACGGTCCACATAGGCCTCAACAATCTGTTCAAAATCATAGGACATGACTGCTTTCTGGATTATTGAGTTCCAGTTTTCCAGCATCTTCTATAATTAGGTGTGAAGTAACTTTTCTATAGGTTAGTATTTATATTCATATTGCGTGCTCCATCGGTAATTACTTAATACTTTGATAATCTCATAAAATTTTAGATTTTATGACAACTGCCACACAGCATTGCCTGTTGAAGTTCTTGCTTGTGGCTTGATAATGGGCTTAAAGACTGCTATAAAATTATGATGTTAGTCATCAAATAATCAAAATAGTTGGAGGGTTGATCTTGTTTGGCAATATTAGCAATGTGCGAAAGGTGCAAATAGTGTTCCGCCCACCAGGAATGACATGCAAATTCATTCTTTTGATACACTGACTTGATAGAATCTATGTAGTTTTGCTTGAGAAATTAGTGAGTTGCTGATTTTTTCTTCTTGCCCTACAAGTTTTTATGTGAGCATGCAAGCCAAATTCTGATGAATGTGGATAAAGTACAATCTTTTAGATGAGGCCTTGGTTCCTCGTGAACTAATGAATGGTTCAATGCATTAAACAAAATTGAAACTCCTTGTGAAATAGAATCTTTAATCATTTTACAACCCATCATCTAAATCCGGGGCATGTGATTAGTTAGACTTCAATATACGGAAAAGATCAACTATGCAATATGTTCATTTAGACCATGTTCATTTCCTTGTATAGAATCTTCAACAATTTCCATTTTATTTCACTAGAATGAATCTTTCTAAGCACCTGACATTGTGGTACTCAAATATATGGTATTATCCTATGTGAGATATCATCAAGCTGTGAACATTGAACACTACCTTATGCAGCCAGGGTTTTAAGTTGTCATTATGTGTATATCAACCTCAACAGATGACATGCTTTCGAAGTTGAGACGTTATGTTTGCATGTATTTATAATAGCCTTGATCAATATATATATATTTTTTGGTTATATGTGGGAGAAGGGGTTCAGAAATGCCTCAAAGGCAGTCTCCCCGGGGCGGACTTCAGCTCAGGACATCAAGCTCAGATTCTGATCCGCTGCATCATCGGCCAATTGCTGACAGAAGTCCTAAGCTAGGTGATCGTAGATCTCCAAGGAGTGTACTCTCAGATTCAGTTAATCAAAAGAAACTTGGTACCAAAATTGCAGATTTAGAATCTCAACTGGGGCAAGCGCAAGAAGAGCTCAAGATTTTGAAGAAGCAATTAGCCTCTGCCAAGGCTGCAAAGAAAGAAGCTCAAGAAAGATTGGAGAACAAGAGCCAAAAACCAATTTCTCCAAACCCCACTAATATCCAAGAACCAAACAAAAACAGTAGAAGTACCATATATGAAAATCCTGATGACAACCATAGAGAAACTGACGTTTTTGAAGTTCCAGTTGAAGAAGTGACTTGGGAATGTAAGGTTGAATCCAAGCAACCAACTGACCAAGAAATTCAAGATTCTAAGCCAGATAGCATATCAACTGAATCACCAATTGTTTCTGGGCCCGTGAAGCTGTCTTTTGATGACTTGGCTTTGAAGAGTGACGAGATAAATGCGTTGAAAGCCAAGTTAGAGGAGAAGGAAAAAGAATTAGAAGCGTTTCGTCAAGAAAACGAGAGCCTAAAAAGTCAGTTGAAAGATGCAGCTTTAGAGATGTCATCAGCTCGAACGAAGGACGAGGAAATGACTTCAAGGTTGGGCCAACTAGGAAAAGAACTGGAAGAAAGTAAAGCAACTTCAGTTCAGTTGAATGAGAAGCTGGAGGCTGTGGAAGGAGCAAAGGAGGCATTGGAAACCGAAATGAAGAAATTGAGAGTACAGACTGAGCAATGGAGGAAAGCGGCCGATGCTGCAGCATCAGTGCTTGCTGGCGACGTGGAGATGAATGGCAGAAGGATATCCGAGAGGTGCTGTTCCATGGATAACCACTTTAGCAGCACAGTTGATACTCAGGTTGGTGCGTACACTGGCTTTGTGGGTTCACCTGGTTTGGCTGAGGATTTGGATGACAGTTTGGGTGGTGGAAAAAGGAAAGGTTCTGGTATAAGAATGTTGTGGAAAAAGAAGGGCCAGAAATAAGAAATTATGCTTTTGTCACATTGAAATGGTTGCTTTACCAATTCGATCGCATTTGGTTGGCTTTTTGTTCGATTTGTGATGGCACTTTGGTCATCTTGTTGAATCCAAGCCTCCTTGGATTATCCTGCCATGTTCTTAAATATATCTTAGGTTAGGTGAGTTCATTTTCAGTGCACCAACAAACCTGTCTTGAAGGAGTATTTGCAGATGTTCATTCTGTTATGTTATGCACTAGTGCATGTGCTTGTTTTTGCCCTTGTAATGAATTTACTATGCAATATTGCATCCAGATTTCCATTCATCAAATAAGGGCTGTAATAAATCATGTTAGCAGTAGATCTGATCATGCAAACCACAGTTATAATGTCACATTTCTGAGTAAATGAATTCTAATAGACAAATGGTGATATATATTTTGACAACAACACAATGCCATAGTACTTGGTGCATTTAAATTAGGGTAAAGTGAATATATATATATAAGGAAAAAAAAAAAAAAAAAAAAAAAAAAAAAAAAAAAAAAGAAGAAAGCCTCCAACATATAACAATAAACGATGCAACCAAATTAGAGACACCAAATATTTATGGGGAAAAAACCCTCCAGTGTAAGGAAAACAAATCACAAGACAAATTTTCACTATCGCGTGAAAAAATACAGAGGGATTTCCACTCCGAGGGATTTCCACTCAAGTTATACACCGACTTGAATAAATACAAAAACAAAGAAAGACCCCAAAAGTTCACTAGCGAGTCTCTCACCATACACTATATCTCACTCACCATCCTCTATTTTCCCTCAATGCCCAATACCTCTTGCACACTGTTTGTCCCTTACGCACAGTGCTCAACCAAATACACTGCTGAACCTATACTTTGGAGGTGTCAACAATACAACATGTACATATGCCAACAACACATACCTATCCAAGCTATACACAACAGTCCTCTCGCTCTGTAGAGGGTCCTTGGTTCTCAGGGAGTAAAGGGTTTCTCTCTCCTAGGGTTTCTCCTCTTGTCCGTCCCATCTCCTTTCTCTTCCCACCTCCTCTTGTTCGCTTTCCTCTTTTCCTTCTTATCTTCTCCCTTTCACCATGGAAGACATCACTTCTTACCTTCAAAAAATTTCCCTAACCCCTGAAGAGGATATTATCATCGAAGCCACTGAGGCCGATTCAGCCTCGGGAATCTCCGATTGCAAACTCAGCCTATTTGGAAAGCTTGTTTCAGATCAAACCAAGAATCTGAAAGGTATTCATAACAACTTCGCTGAAATCTGGAACTGTAAGTTTAAACTCTTCTGCCTCGTCCCCAACATTTTTCAATTTCTTTTCTCCTCTGAACAAGATTTGCAGAAAATTCTTTATGGGCGTCCATGGTTTTTTGATAAACACCTTCTCATCTTGGTTGAGTGGCACCCTTCTTTCCGACCTATTGACTCGGCCTTTGTCTCTTCACCCTTTTGGGTCCATCTGAGGAATATCCCTTTTGAAAGTTTAACCCCAGAAACCGGTGAATTGATTGCAAAGAGCTTCTCTCGCTCCTACCGAGTTGAAGTTAGAAACAAAGGAGCTGAAGGTGGAAAGTTTCTTCGAATCGAAGTCGACATCAATGTTAACTCTCCTCTGAAGAGAGGTCTCTTGGTTCAAATTTTTTGGGGAGGTTCTTTGGATCTCATTTAGTTACGAAAGATTACCATCATTCTGCTACTGCTACTCATGTGGGCGCCTGGGTCATACGCTCTTACACTGTAAATCATCTGAACCCCTTTCTACCTCACTCTAGCCTCCTTCCCATCCTTTTGGTCCATGGATGCGAATCATCCCCTCCTCAAGCGCCTCAATCTTCCCTCATCTCCATTGAACCCCCTTTTTCCTCAGTCTCCGAAGCCCGGAGACGATGACCCTATACTACAGCTGGCTCCTGCTCACTCTCCATCGGACACAGAGATAACCGACTCTCTAGCACGTCTCTGCTCCCACTCCGCCCCACCCACAGTGGTGCGACGGTCTGTACGGAATTCACTGCGGAATCTCCACGTGGCAGCGTCCTTGGTCCCCCACCATCAGGTTCTTCTTTCCTTGGGCTCTACTATTTTAATCCGAACTTTTTGCACATCCAGCCCAACCCATTTCTCCCCCCGATCCAATTACACACAGTATCCCTCCTCCTCTTCCCCCTCCTCCTAGCCCACACCACCAATCCGAACTCACCCCAAACTATCACCACTCTCGGGTAATAAGCTTGGCCCATGTTACCTCACCTCTATTTACGCCTCTTGTGATGATGCTACCAGAGCCTCTCAATGGACTTATCTCAAAAATTTACAAAATCGTATTGGTTAAGAACTGGATCATCATGGGAGATTTTAACTCTCTCACTTGCAATTCTGAAAAAAGTGGTGGAGTTCCTAAGCCCTATTGGATCTTAAAAAGTTTCAAATCCTTCATTGAAGGTTGTAATCTCATTGACATGGGTTTTAAGGGCCCCCCTTTCACATGGTGTAATAACAGAGGTTTTGGTCATACCATCAGAGCTGGTCTGGATCGTGGTTTATGCACCCTTGATTGGCTCAATCTTTTCCATCACAGTAGGATGTACAATGTTCCTGTTTTTGGATCTGATCATAACGCTCTTCTGCTGACCCTCAATGAAAGCATCTCTCCTGTTGAGAGACAATTCCATTTTGACGCTAGATGGGTGAAAGACAAGGACTTCACTTCCCTCATTCAATCTATCTGGAACTCCCCATCATCAGGCTCAATCCTCTTTCAATGTCAGGAGAAGCTAAAATCCTGCAAGTTCAAACTTAAGTCATGGAACCGAAGTAAGAATTATAACTCCAGAGACACAATCCAACTCCTTCAAGATCAACTCCACCTTCTTAAAAGCCAACCCATTCTGGATCGAGCTGCAATCTTCAAATTGGAAACCAAACTGGGTCATGCTGGGCGCAAAGAAGAGCTTTTCTGGAAACAGAAATCCCGAATTGCTTGGTTGAACCATGGTGACCAAAACACCAGCTACTTCCGTAGGAAAACTCTTATTCGAAGGCAAAAAAACTTTATTTCAGGTATAGAGGACTCCCAAGGACAATGGTTTGACTCAAAGGAAGATGTTCAAAGGGTTGCTGAGGATTTCTTTTTCAGTCTTTACCTCTCTCAAGGTTTCTCATCAAGACACTGCTTTTTGGAACTTGATTACTCCTAAGGTCACCAATGATATGAACCAATCCCTCCTCCGCAAAGGAACTGAAGATGAATTAAAAGCAGCTCTATTCAGTATGGGTCCTTTCAAGTCACCTGGTCCAGATGGATTTACCCCACTTTTCTTCCAAGCTAACTGGATCACTGTCAAGCATGACTTACTCCGTGCTTTCAACTCTTTTATTCGTACTGGTCATCTACTTAAAAGTCTAAATCACACCAATTTAGCTCTTGTCCCAAAGATAAAAAAAACCCATTCAAATGTCACATTTCAGACCCATTGCTCTTTGTAATGTCCTTTATAAAATCTTTGCCAAAACCCTTGCAAATCGTCTCAAACCGTTCCTTAATTATCTTATATGTGGCAACCAAAGTGCTTTTGTCCCTGGCAGACTAATCCATGACAATGTCATTCTCGCCCATGAACTCCTAAACCGTCTCAAAAATCGCAGGAGTGGTAAAATTGGGTTTTTTGCTCTCAAGCTTGATATTGCAAAGGCTTTCGATCGTATTGAGTGGGCTTGAGTGGGCTTTCCTTGAGTTGATGTTGCAACATATGGACTTCGATGAACACTGGGTCTCCCTCATTATGGAGTGTGTGTCCACTGTATCCTACTCAATCATCATCAATGGTGAATCTGGTGGCTTAGTCAAACCTTCACGGGGCCTTCGCCAGGGTGACCCTTTGTCTCCTTATTTATTCCTCCTATGTATTGAAGGATTGTCAACTCTCCTTCATCGGGTACACCATCAGAACCTTACTAGTGGTCTCAAACTAAGCAGATATAGTTCTCCAATCACTCACCTTCTATTTGCTGATGACTCCCTTTTTTTTTGCAAATCTTCTACGGCTGAAGCTCGCAACTTAAGGAATCTCCTCAAAAGGTATGAGCTTCTATCAGGGCAGTTAGTCAACTTCCACAAATCTGGGGTCTTCTTTAGTACTAACACAAGACCATCTCGTAGAAGGAAGATTCTCAGAATTCTTCATATGCAAAAGCAAGGCTGGAACAATAAATACCTGGGTCTTCCTGCAGTGCTTGAAGGTTCCAAACTGGTCTCTTTCAAATTCCTTGAGGATAAACTAAGCTCCAAAATCAAACTTCTAAAAGGCCCATTCCTTTCCAAAGCAGGTCGTGAGGTTCTTCTCAAATCAGTCTTTGCTGCTCTTCCATCCTACTCCATGTCATGTTACAAAATCCCATTTAAAACCTATGACACCCTTTGACAGAAAATGATGCGATTTTGGTGGTCTGGTTCTGAAGACCTCACTCACTCTCACTACATCAAATGGGACTCCCTCTGTCAACAGAAAAAAGATAGTGGTCTTGGTTTTAAGGACCTTCGCTCCTTCAACATGGCGCTCCTGTCAAAACTCGCTTGGCGTTTATTCAAAGGAGATACCTCCCTTCTCTTTCAGTCCCTTAAAGCAAAATACTTCCATAACTGCTCCTTTCTGGACTCTCATTGCAAAACCACTGCGTCTTGGATTTGGCGTGGAATCCATGCGTGTATCCCTATCATTCTCAAAGGCAATAAATGGTCAATTTCTGATGGCTCCCTTATTAAGTGTTGGGAAGATCAGTAGCTCCCCGACCCAAACAACCATTTTATTTCTACCCCAGTCCCCCACATTGCTCAATCTTCACAGTTGCTGATCTCACTCTCCCCTATCCCACCCGTTGGAATATTCCCCTAATCAAAGATTCCAATCTCATTCTCGGAATTCCTCTTCGAGAAACAGGCGGTGTTGATTCACTTATTTGGGGAGCCTCTCCTTCAGGACGGTTCACTGTTAGAAGTGCCTATCACATTGCCATGCTTTTAAACTCCCCCAAACCATGCCCTCTTCTATCAATTGGCAGTAGCAATGCTCAAATCCACTCTCCTAATTAGGTTGAAATATGGAAACTGAAAAAATCCAAATTTTCATCTGGCAATGCGCTCACAACCGCCTTCCAGTTCTTCAATCTCTCAAAGCCAGACGTATCGCGAGTTGTAGCATATGTCCTGTTTGTGGTATTGAAGAAAAATCTCTCATCCATCTTCTCTTTCGCTGCCACGTCTCGCTAGCGGCTTGGCGTATCAGTCCTCTCCGTTTAGATTTTTCTTCCATTCCCTGCATCTCGTGGCCTCAAATTTGGAAAATCCTTTCTTCTCTCTGGCGCCTTCATCCAGATGGTGACTCTTTTAAGAGTTTCTTCACCTTCCTTTGCTGGCAACTTTGGCTGAACAGGAACAATTGGCACTTCAATCGGAAGCGTGGCAACCCCAAATCAGTTGTGGATTGTGCCCTTTTCAGTTTTAATGAATTTTGGGAAGCAAAATCACAAGACGGTTGTATGACTTTCCCTCACTTCTCTTCTCCTCCTCATCCTTCTCACTGGCTTCCGCCGACTCTTGGTCGCCTCAAGCTCAATGTGGATGCCGCTATTCCGAATCATATTAACGGCATGGGAAGTGGTTTCATTCTCCGCAATCACCTTGGTATTACTCTTCGTGTTGCAACCTTTTTTCTTGAAGGCTCTCACTCTCCTGAAGCTGCCGAAGCTAGATCGATCAGGCATGGCATTCATCTTCTTGCACATTGGGGTTTCTCTGACGTTGACATCGAAACAGATTGTGCAAATCTTGTCAACAGCTCTCCTTCAAGTGAACTTGCTGCTGTAATCTACGAGGATATTAGATCCCTAATTAGTGCCTCATAAGGGCTCACTCTCTGCTGGGCCCTAGATCTGCAAACAAGCCGGCCCATCTCCTAAGCCAATGGGCTGCTAGGAATTCTTCTTTTGTTCTTTCTTGGGCCTCTCTCCCATCTTGGCTCTCTTATGCTTTGTCTTCTGATTCTGTTTAGCTTCTTTGTTTTTGTCAGGACCAAAAAAAAAAAAAAAAAAACCAACACATACCTCTACTGCCTTCTCGAATATATCCAGATTTATAACCAAATACTTGATACGATTCACCAATCAATTTCATCCAAATCACGTCAGGGAAAAAAAGAAAAAAAACAAGAAGAAGAAGAACCTTGGACGCCATGTCCAAGACACCACCCAAACACATACTTTGTGGAAGCAATCTTTATTTTTTTTTGTTACTACACCAACCCAAAACCAAAATGCAAAATTATTTTAATTTAAGGTAAATTAAAATGACAACTCCTAAGGTTTGTCATAATGACAACCATATATAAGTTGGGCGTTTTTGAACAATGAGACCCCTTACTAAAATTTTTATCCAAATAGGCCCTTAAAAGGTTAGAAAGGATGAATTTGCCCATGAATATTTTATTCATTTTCATTGTAAAATTTCAGAACTGATGAAAAGTTATTTTTGCCCTTTAGTGAACCTTACCCCATTCATTCATTCCATTCGAAACACAGCGTAAGTATGAGCCTCTATTCCTCCATTTCTTTCTCTAGGTTCTGCAAAAATGGAATTCTAATTCAACCATGCATCTCTTTCTCTCACAACCACCATGGTTGATCTGTACTCATGGGTGGCCCAATAAGCCACTGTGAGAGTGTGAAGGAAACTGGTTATTGATGGTTGGTATGAGAAAGAAGTGGATCGTGGCGATGGAAGTTGCAATGGACTAGGATTTTGTTGGGCACAATGGAAGCTAAATTAAACCAAAAGAAAAAAAGTGATTCCAAATCACAACACACAAGATTTACATGGTTCACCCAAATAGGGCTACATTCATTGATAAGAAGATTTCATTATAATCTGTAGAGATGTTACAAACGCGTAAACTTTCTATACCCATTGTACTCACACCCTCACGAGATTGCCCTTACGGGCTACATGTTTCTCTCCACTCATACTCTCAACAATAACCCAAGTATCTATTTTCTAGACCCCAAACCTAACTCACTCGCAGAGTTATCTAAACATTACATAATACAATATGACTCTAAAAATAGACATGTAATCATAATAGAATTTGAGACATAATTATCCTAACAATTTCCAGCATGACTCAAATTCCTTCCCGTTGATCAACGCTTTCCACAGTAAGTTAAATCTGACAACGCACCCTGGTTGTCCTTCACGACTCCACGTTTGCCATGTACTTCATCACGATTTCATCTTGCTTTTTTTAGGGCTGAGAGTGCGAACCCACTCTTCTTTTAGGTTGGGAGCGAACCTTGGCTGACTGAACCCTAATGACCATCGTGATTGATTGACTCCACTTGCAACTGAACTTGTTGCAACAATTGTTGAAACGTCTTTTGTTTTCTAAATCTTCTTCAGATAACGATTAAACATCCACGGCAGAAGCTAAATTAAACCAAAAGAAGAAAATTGTAATACACCGATATTTTAAAAGATTTATTAATTAATATTAATTACTTTTATTTTATTTTTAAATGATTTGTTTGATTTAATTAGAATTAATTATTTTTATTTTATTTTAAAATAATTTTTTTATTTAATTGAGTACTTAGATTAATTGTCTTATTTTATTTAGATTATATTTCGTGATTATATTTGTTGAATTGATATGGTGTTTTGCTTTGTGGAATGTTATGATTGAATTATTTATTTGATTTGTGTGTATTTATACTTGTGTGAATTGTTTGTTAATTATTTCTAATTATTAGATTTAATTTAATTATTTTATTTTAATTGGATTGGGCTTAAGAGGAGTGACACCAATGGATGTGGTCTTGGGCTTGAAGGAAGCCTTGTTGGGTTAATTATTAAAGGCTCATGGTTATGAAGATATTTAAATAATTATATTTGCATAATTATATATATATATATATATATAATTATATATATATATATAAATAAAATTAATTAATAATCATTATGGAGGGGTATATATGTCAATATATATATTGATATATATGGGTATATATGATTTATTTAACTAATGATTATTTATGAAAGATATTTATATATATAAAACAATATATATGTATTTAAATATATATATTATTTAAAAATTATTATTTTATTTGGTAGTCATAGTAGGAATAAGATTTGGATTTTAATGTGTATAAATATACACATAAGGCTTTAGGGTTAAAAGTTTACACGTTAGAAAAATAAGAGAGACACAGTGAGAAGAAGAAGAGAAGGCTGACAAAGAAGAGGCCGGATCGGAGAAAGATGATGCCGGAATTAGAAGAGACAATCAAAACTTGAAGCGTCGGTTTCGTTTCGAAACCTTCAGGCGAGTTTTCTCTAACTTTCCTCTTAGAACTCATAAGGATTTCACCTTGAGTATCAAAGGCTTTAGGTTAAATTTATTTGATTAAATTATGTTTAGATCGGATTATTTAATAGTATGAATTATTATATATTTTTTAATTTTGGATTATAGGATGTTAATTGTATATATAGATGTTGTATATATATTTTAAAATTAATTTATAGGTTGATCTAAGAACCAAGTAGGTTAATTAGGGTTTTTAGAATTTTTGGTATTTTTCTGAATTTTTTTTATATTTTCTGGAATTTATTATATTTATTTTCCTATTATTTATTTGGAATTATATACGTACATATATACAATTTATATATAACACAATACAGTGGAGGTTACTGAATATCGGCGCATTAGATAAGGGGTGAATAATCCAGTGTGGTGCGAGTATAGTATATAGATGTGCATGTAGATCTGGGCCGTTGGTGAATTGAGATGATGATTGAAAATGATCCGGTGTGATGCGGCACATGCTATCACGGTGCACATGGAATCTGGGCCTCTGATGGGTCTTAATTAATGGATAGTTGATCTGGTGTGGATGAGTACATATGAGCTCATCTGAGATAATCTGGTGTGGGTGATACATGTGAGCTTAGGTGAGATAATTAGGTGTGGGTGCATACATGTGAGCTCAAGTGAGCTAATCTAGTGTAGGTGCATTCATGTGAGCTCAATGCTATAATCTAGTATGGGCGAGCTCACAGAAGCTGAAAGACTATAGCCAATCAGGACGCGCCAGAACACACAAAGGCTTGGATCCTGCGCGTGGGCGCGTGTGGAAAATTCTTGTTGGCTGCTTCGACACTTGAAATTGAAACAGTCAAAACTTAGTCATCTTAAATCGAAATTGGGTCGTTCTTAAGCTCAAATTTAAGAATTTTTCATCATCTTTCTAATGGTACCAATTTCATTATCAGATTCCAATCCTATTATGAGATATTTACATTTTAATAAGACGGTATCGAAAAATTATTTTAACCGAGATAGAGTATTTATGGGAAACCGTTTTTGACGTTTTTAGTAGCATTTAATTTGCTACTAATATAATAAATTAATAATTGGTTATAGAAGGATGATAAATATATATTTATATATTAATTTATAAATAGTTTATTTAATTTAGAGTTATGTGCATTAAACCCCCCTCAACTTTCTTCTCTTTCTCAATAAACCCCCCTGAACTAAGTGAAGTACACTTAACTCCCTAAACTATTTCAATTGTTGCAAAACGTTAGTGGGCCGTTTGAAATCTAACATCCAAAGAAGGCACATGACTCACATGACTGGTTAAAATTTATAAAGACAAAAATAACCTTATCAAATACACCCATATATACCAGTGGAATAATATATACAAATATATATATATATATATATATATATATATATATATATATATATATATATATTACATCCCCCTTCTCTTCAAACAACCTTCAGCATCTGTCCATGGCCGCCACCTCCACCGTCCGCCCATACCCACCATCGACACCGCCATTGTTCTCTCCCCCACAGAATATTCTTCCCTCACAACCACCTCCACTGTCCACGGCCACCACCACAACTGCTCTCTCTCCAATCCACCTCCCCCCCCCCCCCCTGTTTTTTTTCCCCCTCTCTTTAGCCTCCAACTCCGGCAATAACAAGAACTTCAATACTGGTGAAAAGTGGGTCTGTTCTGCAGCGGTAATGACAGAGGTGCTCGGCGACGGCGGGCTTACTAGAGAACACAAGGACTGTTCGCGATGGCAGCGCTGAACCACGGGCATACGGCAGTGAGTTGAACTGAAACGGCGGCGGCAAGCAAAGATGAACCCACGGGACGACGACGATTGTTCTTAATGATGGTCGCGGATCAGAACGGTGGCGGTAACGAAGTTAGGAGTCATGAAGCTTCAATGAATTACGGCAATGGTGGCGATGAACTTGGAAGATGCCGGTGAGCTTACCGATGAGCAATGGAACTGAACCGGATATGGAGATTTGAGATCGAGTCACCTGAATATGGAGATTTGAAAGCAAACGAGAGGATTTGCTGACACTGAAAATTAGTGCTTCGAATTTGGGGGTTCTCTGTGCAACGATATGATGAATATATATATATATATATATATATATATATATATATCTAAACTCAAGACCTAGTCCTCGCTTGCAATTTATTGGGTTCGTTCTCAGCACATGATGCTCTCAATGGAAAGAGTCCATCAATGGAGAGAGACCCAACACCAAATCCGATCAACCCCAGTATACAACCTGTTTAAATTGGAACCCATTTTGATGTTATAACTTCACAATTTCCTCTCATCTCTTTCAATTTCTTGTTGCCCCAATAAATGTTACTGACGAGATGGACACAGAGAGGAGGGTGGTGGTGGCTGCCAATAGAGAAGAAATACAATTATTATATATATATATATATATATATATATATATATATATATATATATATATATGTATGTATAAAATTCTCCACTAATTGAGTTGTCA